CTCTTATCTCCTGGGACGCGCAAGCCAAGGGTCTTCATCTCTACAACAGGCAAAGGTTAAAAAAAAACGTACCGCCGGCAGTAAAATTAAAAAACTCCTTAACGGCATCGGTATCGTCCGGGTCAGGGAGAGTTAGTAGGAGACCGGTTTGTTCTAAGTTCTCCCGCATCAGAAGGGTTCTGATATGATGCTCGTCCTCCGAATAGCTGAAAGCCTCCTCAATGTGGGTGAGCCTATTACCAGCAAGCTGGGGGCGATCTTGGGAGACTGCACAAGAAACTAGGGTCAGCAGTGTAACATAACAACGAGAGTAAAGACGATCGAGGATACGTACCCAGCATCCCGAAAGACTTTTTCACCCCTTTTCTTTTAAAGGGCATGTCCCCAGGATAGACATCAAACACGCCCTTGACCAGAAAAAACATGGGCTTCCACCCATGAGACGACGACGGCAACCCCTTTATTAGCCTTCCAAATCTAGGTTCCAACCGCCCATAGCTACCCAGGAAGTACCATCCCTCACACTTGGGGACTTGGTAAAGTTTATATACGAACATGAATTCATCCAAGGGCAGCTCTACCTCAAACCTTTTTCTCCAGAGTACCCACATACTGGCAAAAATATACCAGAAGTTTGGTGCCAGTTGTGTGGGGGATATACTGTGGATTTTGCAAAAGTCTTTCACGAACGGATGAATAGGGAGGGGCATCCCCGCGGTAAAAGCTTGGGTATATACCGATAGATACCCTAGAGGAGGCTGACTTGCTCTATGATTAGGGTCGGGCAGAAGAAACTCGAACCAGCGACCATCCACGCGCCCTTTTTGGTATGCGTGGATGATATCCCTGTCACGGGTCTTAGGTTCAACGAAGTCGGTTGTAAACCACGGTCGATCCTCATCTGGCCCAACTGATGCGATTGGGACGTTTGTGTCCCTGCCACTAATCCCAACGGCGGAGCCCCCGATCAGGGAACCCCCAGAAGAAGAAGCCTCGGCGGTACCTCCCTCGCCATCCTCGTCGACCATCCAGTCAACACTATCTTCCTCGTCCCTCGAGTCGGGGACGTATTCTTCAACGTCCCTTAAAAGGGGGTCACTGGCAGTATGAATGGAGGGAGACTTCGCAACTGGGGACGGATCTGGCCTTACGATAGGAACGCCCCCTCGATGAAGTCTTCTTCTAGGTGCCATTACTGTGAAGAAAAAACCTAAGGTCAGTCCTATCAGTCGAGGGGAAGAAAAATCAGTTCGGGGTCATGGTTAGTTCGACTAGGAACTAGAACGACAACCATTCAACCAAGCCGTCGACCGTTCAACTAAAGACGCCGACCGTTCAAACACAACAGCGACTATTCAAGATGAACCCTGAATCATTGAAATAGACCCGAGACTGCCCAAACACCCCAATGGCTATTTGAAAACCGTGAATAAAGGTCAGAATGATTTCTAAATACTTCTATCATGCCAAGTTTTCAGTCATTTCCTCATATTTGAATAATCTACCAGGAACCAGGAAAGAATAAACGCAATAAGAACAGGAGGAACGAGTATGAAACACTTACCAAAGGTTTAGGAACGAGATGAAGGCTCGAGCTCAGAAAGAAACCTCACGGAAGAACGCGACAAGTCCTGGGAAAATTTGCATAGAGTCTCGACAAAGCAGAAGAAGTTTGGGGGGAGGTTTGGCCTATCAAGCACTTATAAATGAACCGGCTTTCAAACCCCAGCCGTTCGATCATACTCAAGCACATCCAACGGCGGGGGCATAAGGCCTGGATCCTATGATTAGGGCGAGAGCGGGAAAATGAAAGGATCCCAATCCAACGGCCCAGGTTCATCCAAGTTAAAAAGTTAGGCTACGTCAGCGCGGTAGCTGGACCGACGGGATGTTTGCATTTATCGAGGTGTCAGTACCATCATAACATAGGTTCGGAGTTAGGCTTCCGCACCCGAGGAAGCCAAAATGCAGCACCAGGGCAAAGTCCCAGCCTAGCTTAAGGCAATCCACAGGAAAACCTCAACCTGGAGGGCAGATGTTGTACCAAAAAATATGATTGGACACGTCAGCCAACAAGGGCACGCCACGTGGCCCCACAGGGGCTGTGTGGACGCAGGCGTCGACCGTTTAGGCCACCGACCCCATTAATCCTCGACGTCTATATGGCTCGTCCGAGAAGGCAGTTTAGCTAAGGTCGGCCAGGTTGTGATCTGCGCCTGAACTCTGCCGTAACCGGACAGCATCGACCGTATAAGCGTGGGACCCCCGAGGTGACTGCAGTGCAGGCATTAATTATAAACCCTTAAACTGCCCTGCGGTGGGAAGCAACAGATTACAGGAAGTCACAGAGCTGTAATAGAATACCCAACGACTGAGTGAACAGTCCAAAAGTGATTAGTAGGCTACGATCTTAGCCTAGAAAGTAGGCCACTCAAGTACTTCCACCTACTAAGGAAAACCACCCACGAAGGAAGCTTGGGTTATAAAAAGAGCAAAACCCCATACGCCAGGGGGTTGGCTTCCGAAGAGAGAAAAGAAAACGAGATAACAGCAATTGATGTAAATTGTAACAATCTCAAAAGAAATAAAACACTACAGTGGATGTAGCTTTTCATTTACAGAGTGAACCACTATAAATTCCGTGTGTTCTTCTACTTCAAGCATATTTTCTCATGTTGCTCTCCATTCACAAAATACAACAAACACTTCATTGCATAAACTACAGTCAATATCAAGCCGGTAATCCAACGGGATACCTTGAGGTGACCCGGCCTATTTCTGTTGATGAGTTTTCACCGTCAACACTCTATAAGGGAGCTTAGTCGTAAAAGTACCATAAGCCCTTTCAATGACTACAACAAACTAACAGTTAGAGAGAGAAACTCAGAGAGATGATAGAGAGTCCTCTAGTCGATGAAATCCTTCCGCATAAACTATCGGATTAGTTACAAAAATTCTCACCAAATTATACATTTTATAATACTTTGTTCTATAATCTTTAAAACGTAACATTCGTTTCCTTTAAATAATAAAATGTTAATAAAAAAGCCTTATCTGATAAATTTTAACGTAAATTGACATTGAATTAGTTATTTTAAAAGTATTTTGGTAATTTTATGGTTTAAAGTTTAGTCTGAATTTACGACTAATTTAAATTTAGACTTTTAATTATGACGTATCAATCCTTAATTAAATATAAGTTAAAAATTTTATAAATATTTTTTTTCTTTTGTAGAATAAAAAATTTATGAAGTTGTTTTGAACTTTCTCTTTTCGTTAAAAATAGCAAATAAAAAATTAAAAAATAATTTTTTTTAAAAAAAAGAACTATGTTTGTGAGGTGGGGATTTATTGTACCATATATTGAAGAAGATTTATTTTGTTTTCTTTATTATGTTATATATAAATTGGACTAAAAAATTTTAGATGTGTGGGTAAAATAGTAATTTTGCTCCAAATTATTTTAACAACAACTTTTATTTATGTGACACGAGTCAAAAAAGGTTAATTGTAACAAATAGTGCTTTTTATTAACGTTTCATTATTTAAGAGAAACGAATATTACATTTTAAAGATCAGGGGGTAAAGTGTTACAATGAACATAGCTCATGGAGAATTTTTATAATTACCTACAGTTACGAAAGATAACGTTATGAGATAATATGTTGCTTATTACAGGTTATGAAAAGATAACCTTTAGGTTATTAATAGTATATGATAAATTTAATAACAGTGGCGGAAATAAGATAGTGTTACCTTTGATGATTTTTCTGAAAGTTTCCCATAAAATTACATGAACTTTTCGTCTTTTTACTCCGAAATGTAAAAGTCTACCTTGTATTTTTATAGTAATTGACATTATTTCTGATATTTTTGTAATGATATAAAAAAGTTATTATAGTTTTCTTATTTCTCAAAGTTCACTGTGATGTCGAATTTATCATTTAAAATTAATTATACAAAAAGCCTTTTTTGTACCTTATATAAAAGAAATAAGAGCAATAGCACTAGTCACTAATAGAATGTGGATCCCGTGACGTGGGATCTACTCGTGAAACCCACCTCCTATTAGTGAGTGGTGCTTAATACCGATAGTACCCCTAAGCATTTTTTAAAAAAATAGTGTTCTTTTGAAGAACAAAAATGTTGAAAAGTTTATATATCACAATAATATGCAGTCAGGATTCAGGTCGATAATCAACACTTGCTCGAAAAGAAATGGAGTTAATGGTTTCAGGGTCTTCAAATAAATTGGCGGAACTCAATAAGCTGTGTAAAGATGTGGTCAATGATTCTGAAAAGAAAGATGTCTACGGTTTTTGTTTTCGAAAGCACAAGGGTTTCACAATGTATGTATGATTCTGATTTTTATTTGTGGCTGTTTTTGTTTACGTTCTCTTTGCTTTCTATATTTTTCTTTTATTAGGTTAACTACTCTTGGTTCCATTGTAGTCGTTTTTATTTTTATTTTTCCTTTTAATTCTTCTATAATATATGATGGAAATTTGGTTGAATTACTTCACGGCTACTTAGTTGGAAGATAAGTCTCTGTATTAAATTCTAAGTAATCAATTAGAATTGAATTCTCTAAAAATAAAAAAATAAATGTACACAATTGTGAATAATTAAATATTATAATTAATTTTGAGGCTTTTCTCTTTTACAAAATATATAGGACTATTTTCAAAAACATCTTAATTACAAAATATCACCTAATTAAGTCTCCCATTGGTCTCTCCGGTGTGGGGAATTAATAAAATATCACCTCTTTGATGATGTAATTATATGTTTAAAATGGTGATTAGATAAAAGATTGACTCTTACACTATAAGAAATATCAGCATTAGTAGCTGATCAAAAACGCTATTAGTCACTAGCAATAACGTTTTGTGAAGCGTTAGGACATCGAACGCTATTAAAAGTCGTAAGAAAACATAACGTTCTAAAAGAGTTATTGAAAACACTATAGAATTGAGGTATTATAACGTTTAAGACATCTTTCACCATTTAACCTGTAAATAAAGACTACAAATACGTGGTGATTAGATTGTAGAACTTATATACAAAGAAAGGCCTCAATAAAGTAACTAGGAAGGGAAAAAACTAGGTGGAAAATTAACACCAAGAACACAAACATTTCAGTCTAAGCAGACAGAAAGCATTAACCAAGCTTCATGTAAATCAATTATGAAAGGCATACAGTATTTTTAGTGATTGAATAACATAGACTAATAAGAAAGACAAAAGTTCACATCCCAATTTCCACTAAATTAACAATACCAACCACAAAAGAAAGGGTATTTTCATTCATACACTCTCCAAAAAGAAGCATTAGAAGCATCTTATATAACCACATTCTTACCTTTGCAATCTCATCCTTCAGCTTTCTATTAACTGACTTCATCAAACTCATTTCTGCACAAAATCTTAAAAGACAATGAGAAAAATGAAAAGACAATTTGGGTGTAAAATACTGACAACAGACTTGATAGTTGATATATAAATGCATTAAGTTCATTAACCATGTATTATTCTCCAAAAAGCATATTGTATCATCCAATTCTGGTCAGACTTCTCGGTTGCAAGGTGGGTATGGGGAATATTTGCTTTCCATACCTCATTTTTGCTCTTAGGCCGCTTGATTGGAATCTGGTACAACAGAGAAATTAGTATTTAATGCTAAGAACTGAAACCAAAATGGTATATAAGTTCATCTGATCCCATAAATCTATAATAATTCACCTTATATCCCAATTTGCTTGAGGGATTAAACAATGTATCGCCTTTCAGGAATTTTATCCTTATTGAATGATAGTCAAGGTCTTCTATATAAGCTTGAATATTATTTAGCTTATCCGGCCAACTAATTGGACCATCTACATATAATATACATATATACATAAACATGACATATACATATATGACTATGCATATTTTTATCTGTCATCTACATATAATATACATATATACATAAACATGACATATACATATATGACTATGCATATTTTTATCTGTCATCTACATATAATATACATATATACATACACATGTCATTTGCATATAATATAAATTTGTGTGTATATTCTTCATAAAATTAAACAATAGAAAGGGACCATGAGTACCAGTTGAGCTATATATTCACCTTTTAATATATTAAGACTTACTGCAGCCTGCGGTTTAAGTGGACAATGTCTCTCATAATGCTCCATCACAGAAAGATCCAGCTTCAACCTCATTTGGTAAATAAGGTTTCTGTCTAGGCAAGGAATCAGCTCCAAATGACGATCATCACAAATTGTTAACATAGAGACAGAATCAAAATATGTATGTAAGGCCAAAGCAGAAAACATATGTATGTAAGGTAGAACCATTTAATATAGAGACAGAACCAAAATATGTGTGTGAGGCTAAAGCAGAAAAAAAAATCCCAAGCAACACTTATAAAAACAAGAAGAACTCACTGTAAAGCTCTTCGGTATAAAACCATCTTCTCCATTTTCCCCAAGAACTGAGGGCGACTCATCAACTTCTTCATCTGAACCCAAATAAGAGCTGAAATTTCTTAATGATTTACTTCCATACTCCATAGCAGATGAACTGCTTTTCCGTGAGTATATGAATATAACACCAGATATGACCACGAAACCCAAAGTCACACCAACCAACCGTTTATATGAATAGGCTAAGTTAGCATATGATAGCAAGGATTCTAATAAGTTATGGAAACAAAGAAACAAATATAACCTCATAAGCCTTTTGAACTTCTCGGAACTTCTCTTCAGCTTCAGGGTCATCTTTATTTGTATCTAGATGGAGTTTTTGTGCAAGCTGAAAAATAACAAAAAGGATTAAAATGTAGTTCAAAGTTCAAACCCGCAAAACAAATAGGCTAGTAGTATATGAATCTCTTTCATTCTTATAAAAGACAAAAAAAGCCGACAAAATAAGAACGATCAAATAAATTAACAAATAGGCTAGTAATATATGAATCCCTAACTACGGTTCACGGCTTAAGAAGTCCAGAAATTCAAGGCATAAAACAGCATACAGAAACAAAAGTTACGGCTCAAGAAGCCCAGCAATTTAAGGCATACCTGAATCAGGACGATTTCTCGAGAAGCAAACTGTGATTCTTGTACAAAGAAACAAATTCTTCCAAAAATCCAAAACCTAAAGTTCTAATTTGGAGAGTACTGTTGCTCAATGAGGGAAGAATTCGTCCTTAGGGCTTCGAGTGAAAAACGAGAGCTTCGAGTGAATTGCGCAAAGAGGGCTTCAAGTGAAAGAAGGGAGCTTTGGGGCTTTTTCCTTTCGGATGGGAATTTGAGCAGCAAGCAGAGCACACACAAAAAAAAAAAAAAAGAGGGGGGAGGGGGGAATGAAGCGGCGGGAATTTGGAAATTTGGGGAAACATGAGCAGCAAGGAGAGCGAAAAAAAAAATGGGTGGGGGGAGGGAATGGACGGCGGGAATTTATTTGGAGAAATAATTTTTCCACTGTCTAGTCATTTTAATGTGTACAGTAATATATATTTAAATATATAGACAATAAATCAGTTAAAATTTTATTAACTTATATGTATACATATTATAACTATTTTGAAACGTTATTATATATAGCCAAAAAAACATTTAATAACGTTTTTTTAAAAACGCTATAACTAATAGTTATAAAAAGTATGTAATTATATGTTTAAAATGGTGATCAGATAAATGAGAAATTGACTCTTATAATGCTCTCTTAAAGTTGAGAAAATTGAAGGAAAAATTTCAAAGAAATACATAAAAAGTGAAAGTTCTTTGTCTAACATCGAAAAGAAAAGAAGTCATGATCTCCTTTAAGCCCTAAAGAAGGGACTTATACCCTTATTAAAACACACTAGAATTTTAGAGTTTTTCTCTCCTCTCAGAAATTCTACATTGCTACTAGTAAGTTGTTGTACCTATGATGAGAGGGCGAATATGTTTTAAGAAAACTATGGAATACACGTACTTCCGTATTTTCAATTTAAAGCTTTTTTTTCTTTCTAGATTATTATTTTTGTTTATTATTATTATTATTTATATTGTTGTAGTTTTCAGTTTTAATTGTACTAGTTTCTATGGGCTTGTTCTTTTAGAGTTTAACTTAAGTATAATTCTTGAGTTAAATTTGAGTTATAACTTGAGTTGAACTTGTAACTTGAGTTTGTGTTTGGTTGTATACATTTGAGTTATGGTTTGAGATAAAAATCTTTTTGAGTTTGTATTTCAGTGAGTCAAAACTTGAATTTGTATTTAGATAGTATTTTAATAAAAACTCAATGCTGATGAAAAATTTTAATATGGTATATGGGTCGGGTTTTATTTGTCTTTTCGTTGTCAACGCATAGAAAAAAAATCATCTCAATCAGAATTAAAACGAAAAAGTTATAGCATTTTTAAGAATAGAAAAAATACTGTTCATTAATTTGAGTTCGAGTTTCTGAACTCGAGTTGAAGGGGAAACTTATAGTCGAGTTTTAGTCCTAAACTCAAGTTTGAACTCGAGTTTAAACTCGAGTTTAAACTTAAAAAAATATAAACTCAAATAAAGTTATAATTTGAGTTGCATTTTTTTAAGTTTTTCACTCAAAAGAACGAGCCCTATAATTCTCATATTAATTCACTATTTCCAGTTATTCTATTCATCTTTCTTATATATTTTGACGAACAGTGTTGCCATCTCAAGTTCAGTTCCTCGCCTGGACCAAAGCTTGCTGGTTTAGGTACTATGGAGAGGATTTGCTTTTCTTTTGTTTTTCTCCAGTAATAATGTTCGTGATTCTACTAGTTATTACTTTGAGTTCCATTTTTATGCTGTAGTTAGTTAGATTTATTTATTTATTTTAGCTCATAATGAAATACTCTAACTGGTTTTCTCAGGTTGAATAATCTGAAAAAACATATTGGGCAAGATTCCGACAACCTAAAGGTCGGGTATAAAAAATTGAGTTTCTCCGTGCAAAAGACCGAATTGCGAACTTATGATCAAGTAGAGATAATAGAAGTAATAGGAGTCAAACCCAAACATGCACACATCAAAAGCCCCAGAGTTCCAATGTATGTCGAATATGCTTGTCCCAAATAACCAAATTAATCACAACCGTTAATAACTTGTTCAATTTTCCGAGAACTGTAAAAAGTGATCGACAAGTCCAAAAAAAAGAAGAAAAGGCTACAGTCCCACAGGCAACATCACCCCCCCCAAAAGAATACCAATCTGGCTCTGTCATCAGATATATATTTCATGCTTTATTTTCTTAACTCGTCAAAGAATACCAAAGGAAACGACAGAAGGGCCTCAAGGTTTTTATATAACACCAACCCCATGCATTTACACATGGTTAAACACAAGCTTAATTAATGCAACGGAGTGGATTGAATAAAATTTATTGGCTTAACCGGACGGAAGATGCGATTTAGAGTTCCAAATCCACCTAAACATAGCCTACAAAGCTTAAAACCCTCAACTTAAAAAGAAAACTCAACTATGATATCAATATGTCAATATTCAAGTTTAAATATTACAATAGGTATACTAAAATATATACACTAGAATAAACGACAAATTAATAACAAAACAAAACTAATTTAATAAGATAGAACAAGTAAACATAAAAACAAGTACTATATCTAAAGCCTTCTATATCATTAATGTAGACAAAGTCTAAGGACATGCTAACAGGGCAAGCCAGTGCCTAGCTATAAGCCATGAAAATGAACTGCTAATCCGTCAACACAAAAAGAGCAATCCACCAAATTTGGTAGCAGGCGAAACCCATCTTCAAGGCAGGCCACGGCTGGTGTAAGAAGAGGGTCTCTCCTTGTCACGCCCCGAAATAGAAATCAGTGACGTGGATGCTTATTTAAAAATTTAATAAGATTAAGGAAAGTAATTAAATATTTAATAATGTAAAAATCAAATTCAAATATAAAATATTTAAGAATTTTTAAACAAATCCCACAATTTTAAAGAAATCAAGTTTCAGAAAAAGTGAGGTGGGTTTTCATAATACCATAATAAAACAAGTTCCAAAAGAAGCCTCTGGCATCATATTGGGATTCCCCACAAAAAAATCTATATTGTAGCATACATAAACAGAGCAAATAATTGAATAGACATCAACTATAGTCTATGAGTATTTAAGGTTACAAACCAAAAATTTATACATGCCTTAGAATAAGCAACAAGGAAGGAAATAATCCACCGCTTCTTCACTTCTTGAGTTCGGCTCACCTCACCAGTAGTCACTGTCTACTCGGCACTACTTCTAACTTCGCTTGGGAGGGGTTTAATACATAAAAAACAGAAGAAAAGTGAACGAAAGACCCAGTCGGATATAATTTTATAAAACTTTTATCAATTAAAATAGTACACGGTCCGAACATGTCATTCAGAACCAAACATCCTTTTAATGAAAGGAAATAATCATAAATTTTAAGTTCCATGTTTCAGTAAGTAATTCACAAGATTATGATGAATCATTTATCTTATCGCAAAGACATGATATCACCACCGAAGTGGCCCGTACGGGTTTTGGGACACGGCCCTAAGGATATGATCTCCATACCCCGATCTCTAGGCCATCATACGTTTTACTATTTCTTAAAATATCTCATTTCAAGATAATATTACTTTAAACTTTTCTTTAAATAATAATAATATCAAACACATTTTATCTTTAAAACGTTACCATAGGCCAAAGATATTTAAAAACAAGGCTAACAAGGATATGGACAAGAATATCCTACCTCTCGGATATCAATTTAGTCTACGGATAACTTCACGGTGTCCAACCGTCTATTCTTAAAGCTCCACGTCCAATCGTGCCGCTAGCTTCATCATCAAAACAACGATTTAGAGTTTAAACCTCACCTCTAAACAATCTAGGTTAATTATGTATAATTGTATCATACTAGTGTGCCTTAACTAAAAATCCAAGTTTATAAACAATTTCATAATCCAAATTGTGATTCTTTGAGAATTGGAACTCAAACAAGAAAAATAGGATAGAATAAGGATCAATGTGGCTAATCCACTCATTTTGAGTTCTCAAATGAAGTTAAGTTGGTTCTCCAATGAAATTTAGGGTCAAAATAAGGTTTTAGAACATTTTGGGTCGGAGTAAGTGTAAACCGGTTAACAGGTGGCTGAGGAGTGTAACTCCACCAGTTAGCTAGTGGTGTGGAGACCGGTCGACTGGTGGGAGTTCTGCAGCTCAAGAAAAATGGCCGAACAACGAGGAAAAGTGCTAAAACCTGCATTTTTGGGTTCAATTTCAAGATATTTTCATGGAGACTCACTAAATCCAGGTTCCATTCACTAAATAAAGTTTAAAGAATAAAAAACTCCCAAGTTCCATCATGATTTCAACCAAACCCCTTCTCAAAATCAAGTTTAAACTAAGATTTCACCAAACTAAACCAAAATCAAGTTTCACCAAGGAAAATCTGAAATTCAAGAGTGAATTTTTCAAAGAATTTACATTAATCTTTCCTGTGATGATGGAAGCTTCTTGAAAATCCCTTTTTTGATTTAGATATGGATCAAAACTCCCTTATAATGAGAGAGTAACAATATTGAGGGAAAGATAGAGAATGAGAGAGGCAAGTGAGGGAGAGAAAGAAAGCAAGGGAGAGAGACGAGAGAGAGAGGGAGTGAGAGAGCAAGAGAGAGAGTGAGAGTAATGAGAGAGAAATGAGAAAAATCAAAAAAGAAAGAAATATAAAGAAAAGGAAGAGTAAGTATCAAAAATATTTAAAAGAAAAAGGAAGGAAGTATGTATTCTCATATACTTTCAAAGTGGAATTGTAAACATTGAAAATAATTAAAATTCCTTAAAAATATTTAAAACTTGAAAATAAGAAATGTTTAATAAGCATAATTAATTAAGAAAATCAAATTAAACACATTAATATATCACAATTAACATAATTAAATTTGTTTAATTTTTCAGGTTATTACACTCCTATGACAAGGAAGATTATAATTCAGAGGGATTTATGAACTTAACCCAATGATCTGGTGAAGAGCTTCTTCTCTCTCTCTCTTTCTTTTCTTTTTTTATTTCTTTTTTTTAATGTTCCCGAACTATTGATATTGTGGAACTTGAATCGGGAGGTGAATTTACACAAAATCAATAGTTCATTAAAGTAGCAAAACTCCTTGTGAGGTAAAATCCGACTCCACAAAAAGCGTAATGATTTGCACAATCTCAGAGGGAGGTTCAATAAGTCAACTTCAAATTGATAGTATGGACGAATTCATAAAACAATAAGAGCTCGTTTAATATAAGGATTGAAATCAGGATGATTGAGATCATTTTGATTAGAATC